ACTTTGTTATCCTCTCATCAAAATACGCGGTTCTGATTGATATTTACTGGGCTCTGCGTGACCCATCTCTATCATCTTTAGCGTGGTTAATTGGATTTATTGAGCGGCGCCCGGCTCTGGCAGGCTGGGATTCACCCCTGTTGGGATGCTCCTCACCTGCCCGCCCCAGACTGCTTCTGTGCAGCCTTGCTCCCGTCAGACTGAATTAAGCTGCACTGTCAGGAGCCAGAGACCCTTCAACAGTTTTCCAGCACAAGCAACACTAAATTAGTGTTTGGTAATAGGCTGCACACTGTTTTGTAATAAGAAAATATGGATGGTTCTATTTATTCCCTCTTGCTCCCTGCGATGATAAGAAATGTTCTAATTCATTATTAATTTGTTCCAACTATTTCTGGTAAATGTAAACTATGAATAACCTTAGCTATGCCATTAGCAATACCTCAGAACTATGGATGGATTTTTGGTTCTGGACATAGGCACATGGCAGTCCCACTGTTTCTAAAGATGTACCCAAAATTCTGTCACATTTGGGTACAAAACCAGAACTTGTCATTCACCTTGAGCTACAGCTGCATCTAAAGCAACCTGAAACACAAAAATACTGTGGCTGTTATTTGTCCAGTATAAATTATTGTATCTTGGCAGCACTTGTGAAACTTTGTATATTCAGTCTGCTTAAGGGTTTACCCTATCCCTGAACGCTGGGCCAAATAGAAATGAGAGAGGGGATAGATCTGCTGCCAGTCCTAAAGCCTTTTATTCTGCCCTGTGGACTTGTGAGGTCTTTAGTGGCATTTTATAGGTTGCTGGCTTTAGTGTAGAATATGCCTTTAGAATATTAAGTCTTAAAAGAAATCCTTTATTTGTTGTTGTTTTCTGCCTTTCATAATTTATTTTTCTAGTTTTCATACATAAATGATTGATCAAAGAACCACTGTCAGAATGCATCAAGGACTCTTTTCTTCTCTTGCAGCATACGACTTTATTTGGGTGAAAGATGAGAGATTATAAATAAATCTATTGGTTATCCAAGGAAATTTTCTGTCACAGGCATAGTGTGGTGGTACCTCCTTGTGAAAACGAGTCCTCTGTTTGGTCATTCATTTATTTAGAAAGTGATTTTCTTGCCTTTGTGTTTGGATGGGAATGACTCTTCCTTCGCCTCTGTATTGTTCTAGTCATCTGCCTTCATTTACTGAATGGGGGGAGGAGGACACCCACGGGGTAAGATTGAACACTGATCTTCTGTGTGGGCAATTATGCAAGACACAGGCAACCCACTGGCCTTGTCTCTCACCGTGAGTTCTAAGCAGCAGCAAGAGCAGAGTGACTGCACTGCTGGTGCTCCTACACTGCTGCCCTGCCAAGTACTGTTCTGCCTCCTCACTTCAGAGAGGGAAAGAAAAAAAAAACCAAAAACCCAGCCCTTTTTTTTTTTTTTTTTTTTGATTGTTTGTTTGGAAGTAAGGTTATAAAAGGTAGCAAGGAATTATCTTGAAGATTCACAGAGACTTTGCTAATGCTTGGTGCTCTCATGCAAAGAGGCTGGCAAGGGTCCTGGCCACCAAGCGAGGTTTGCCCCTATCATCTCTTGAGAGATTTGTAGTCCCAATATTATCCCTGGTTGCTGGGGTTTTTTGTTTTTTTTTGTAGTTTTGCCCAAAACATTTTGCCCAAAACATGCCTGGGTGACCAAGCTTGTCTGTACTGCAGCTTTGTCCCTTTGGACATGAGAAAGCACACGGATGTTTGGGCTTTTTACAGCATGCCTAAGCATTTTGCTGCTTTTATCTAAAGAAAGCATAAGAGAGAATGGCTTAAGAAAAGAAAAACAACTCTGTGAATGAAATACTTCATTGTGGTAGTTTGGTGTTTGGCTGTTGTTTTAATATAAAAGTTAGAATTTATATGTTAGTTATTTACAACGGTTTCTCCCATATAATCCGTTCTGTTCCCTGAAATAGTTCAGCCCCAAGTTGTTTACCCCAAAGTTTTCCCACCACATGTCCGCCCCTCACTGTGCCAGTGTCCCTGTTCCACCCCTCATTCCCTTATCCCTCATTCCCTGCCAATCCCGGTCACTCCATCCCTCGTTCCTGTAAATTACTGTTACCACTCCCCTTGTGTTCCGGAATGTTCCCTGTCAGTTAGTCCTGTTTCGATGATTTCTTGGGTTAAAAGGCTTCTTCCCTGCCCTGAGTTCTCCCTATTGATTAAGTTATGTGAGGTAATCCTCCCCTAAGATCCCCTCAGTGGTTAAGAGTTGTATCCAGCCCTTGTACCCTCCCCTCTTTAAAAATGCTAGCCGGACCCCCTTTTCTCTGGCACTTCCTCCTGACCCCCTTTGGGAAATAAAGTTTCCCTGGAGACTCAGGCAAGAGTCCTTTCCCTGCTTCCTTCACTTTGGATTCTTCATGCTGAGCCCCTGCAGCGTCACCCACGCCGCTGCCATCCCTGCCACCCTAGACGATCTCGGCAGAGATGGGGGCGGCCATCCTCGTGTGTGCCCTTCGGCCACTGACGGTGTTGCTGGCCAGCGAACTTCACCCCGTGGCCGCAGACTGTTCCCACATTCATCTCTTTCTGTCACTCAGTGGATTGACATCTAGCCTAAGGAGGAAAGTAGGGCTTTCCCACCTCTGCTGCAGGTTCCATGTCTCGGCTGGAAGTGCTGTAATGTCTTCCAAGCTGTGCTTGAGCTATAGTATCTTCTGTTCTTTTGCCAGGCTATCCCTAATCAGCCTTTTCAGGTGACCACAGCTACAACAGAATGATTTAATGGATGGGTTAATCTCCCCTCTGACAAGTTCATCCTTCCTAGGAGCTGGCCCTTGGGGAGGAGGAGGAGTCAGGAAAGCCAAGAAAAAGTGAAGGCTGGTGTTATGTTTGTGAAACTAGTGCAGACAAGAATTCATTGGCATACTGGTTAGCAATAGGTTCCCCAAGCCACCCCAGTAAGAAAGGAGGCCTGGCAGGGATAGGTACAAGATACATGATAAACCCATAATGTGTGTGTTTGTCAGAGAAAGACAGCTGCTTTGGCAGGATTGCTTGCTTTTGAGAAAGAAGAATTCATCCTTTTCTATATTCACAGAAATACATGTGTCCTTCCATGATAAAATTATATATTCTATAAATTCTTCCAGGTTCTTTTAAAAACATGCAGCTAAGTGGGGACATACTGAAAAAAATGTGAATATAGTGGCTGGACATCTAACCAATGTGTATGAGATATCTGGCTTTATGGACCAATAGAATTTCCTGACAGTTTGATAAATTAATCATAGTATATTTTATAAAAAATGCATAAATATAAAAAGGGGATTTCTGAGGAGTCAAAAAGATGCCCATTATGGTACATGACGAAATATATTCCTTTGAATTAGAACTCTAGCAGCAAGGTTTCCAGCAGTCAGTTGCAGTCAGTTGCAGTCAGTTGCAGTCAGCTGCAGTCAGGCTTGACAAGGCTTACAGGACATAAGCTCCCCTAGAAACTTCTATAGAATTATAATGCTTTAGTTAATAAAATAGATATTTAAAATAGTTTGATAAATTAAAAGGTCTAAGTTAAGCTGGTACAGGGAAGATGAAAGAAATTCTGCCAATAAAAACCCCCTGCTTTTCTTTAGATGCTGCCTTAGTAATTTGCCCTAGAGGCAAGTATTATATACCTTAAATCCCTCTCAGCCTTGAGATGACAGTTATTGAGAAATGTACTGCGTCGTATGCAGAGACCAGATTAAAACCTTTACTTCCTCAGCCTAAACCGCAGTCATGTCATAATCACATTCACTTCGCACACACACCCCTGTGACGTAGACTGAGATGCTATGAAACTTTTATTGGTACAAACTGTGTGTGAGTTACTCACTCACCATTAGTGAGAGCTTAGAAGATGAATTTTTTTGCAAACCATTCTGACATTGCTGCTGCATGCATGTTACCACCAGGGTGGCATAGGGTCTCTGTGTGGGGTCTGTACCTTCAGGTTTGTTTTACGGGTATCTCTACCTCTGTGCTGCTAATGCCTGCTATTTCAGGCATCGTCATACTTTCTGTAAGGATCTAGGGGAGTGGGGATGGAGGAGAGGAAATGCAGATGCATCTATCAAAAATAGCTGAAAGTAGCTTTTCTAAAGTGAAAACAGCCACAGCTTTAAAATATGTGTGTACTGTGTGTGTCCCGTCTCTTTGGAGAGAAGGAATGTTTAGGCGGAGTGTGCACTCAAGCCTTCATACTGACGTGATTCACACAGTCCTGGCCCCACGGGTTTCTAGAAAAGCCCGTGTTTACCCCTGCTACCGCCGAGTCACGACAAAGGAAACAAAAAAAACCCCACCAGCCCCAAAGCCCGGTGCAGGGGGGCAGCGGGCCGCCCTTTCCTGCTGGCTTTTCTCCCAGCCGGGCGCGGGGGGATCTCCGCAGCCCAGCCGGGGCACGGGGCAGCCCCGGCCCGCCCGACGGCGGTTCCGCGGCGCCGGCCGCAGGCGCGCAGCTGCCCGCGCGGTGGCGCCCTCCGCTCACGGACCGAGCGCGCTTTCCCCGGCCCCCCCGCCAAATCAATTTTTTTTTTTTTTTTTTTTTTTTTTTTTTTTTTTTTTTTCCTCATGGCGATGCTTTTCCCTCCCTCTCTGCCAAGCGCTGCGAGCCGCACATCTATCTCTGCACAAGGCGGAGAGAAGAAAGGTCGGGCCACGGGAGTGAGGGGAAAAGCCGCCCCCTCCACCCCCGGCAGCGCCGGCCGAGCCTGGGACCCTCCCTGTGGCGGGGCCGTGGGGCTCGTCCCTTACGCCCCGCGGCTTCAATACTCGCAGAGCGGTCACGGCGCTGATGGTTTGATGGTTTCCCCAGAGGGGGAAGTCTTGTGTAATGGGAACAATATTAGAAAAAATAAATGGGGGACCTGGGAAAAAAACCCTAGCCACTTATATTGTTAAATCTCCGCGGAAGTGGGGGTTTCCGCGCCGGGGCTGCTCCGCCTGCGCGCTCAGCGCCGGGCGGCTCCGCGGGGGCCTGCGCCCAGCGGCGGCCCCGGGCTGCGTGTGGGTGAGCTGGCCCGGCGGAAAGACCCGGAGCAAAGCTGTGGGGGAGCCTAATAAGCAGGGAGACCCCCACCCCACCCCTAACTGCCCTCCTCCGCTTCCCTTCCCACGTCAGGTAAAACTTTACTGTGGCGAACATCCTTTTAGGTTTGTGCGGTGGGGCTTTTCTGCGTGTTTGTTTGATTGTTAGGGTTTTTTTTCTTTTCTTTCTTTTTTTTTTTGGGGGGGGGGGGGGGGGGAGGAAGTGTGAGTTGGTGTTTATGAGAAGCTTTATGACTCCTGATAAGCTCATCTTTGAGGACGACACAGAACTGTGTTCCTTGAGGAATTGGGGTGGTGACGTCTTTTCTGATACCCGATTATTACGTGACTGAGGAAAAAAAAAAAAAGGCATTTGATTCATGAATAAAAATCCGGACACCACTACGGGGGCAACAAACAATATTGCCCGTCCTCTAAGGTAACAAGCAGGCAAATGTTTACGAAGAGGGCTCTTGCTGAAGCGGGGTGTTTGCAAAGATTTTCTTGCTAATTGCGTATCAGACGGAAGGCTGCGGAAGGCTGGTCAAGTTTGGAGCCACCGAGCAGGAGAAGAAGAGAAGGCTGAAGGCGCTCAGTGAGGGGAGAGATCTGGGGAAGACAACATCGCACGCAGCCAGCCCGCGGCTCCCGCCTCCGCTCCCTCCCGGACTCGCTCGCTCTCTTCCCTCTTCCCCAGCGCTCGGTTCTCCGGCGACATCTCGCTCCATCCCTCTTTCTCAATTCCCTTGTAGACTCCACTCCAGATCTGTGCTGCTGCCTGCAAACTTTTTTCCTTTATCTTTTTTTTTCCCCTTCCTGTCTCTCTTTTTCTTTTTGGAGTGGATAGCCCTAAAACCAGCAAACAACTAACTGCTGCCGCTTCTGCATCTTCTGCATCCTGCCGGTCCTTCGCCCATAGGAGAGGCGATGTCACGAGGGTTTTAACTCCTTTTGGACGCAACTTGGGAGAGAGCTCGATTTCTCTCACCCTCCCCATTTTGGGTCTTTATTTTTTTCCCCCCCAAGACCTGCCGTTTTAGTTTCGCAGTCAAACGCTCTCAGTGCCGGGTGTCTAGAGTTTAATGGTAAGGACACGAGGTGGCTCGCCGGGCCTTCCCGCAGCGGTCCCGGGGCGGGCGGGCGG